GATCTCTTTGGATAATCACCTACATGGTTTTGGAGAAACCACATAAGTGCTAGTGATGGAGATCAAGAAGGGACTTGATAACTAAAATGTAATGAACACTCAATGTCTAGCAGGAGTTATCTAATGGAAATTTATGTAATTTTCTTATTATGTATTAGTGGTAGTTGAATACCATACAGCTCACAACTAGAAAAGCCATGTTTTCTACATAGATTAAAAGCAAAAAGATGGAGTGCTGAGCAATCTTTACTTCAAGATCAACTTGGTCCTGTAACAGGATAACACATTTAAATATGCAAATACCCTTCACCTCTGACTCATTAAAATACATCTTGCCTGCTTTCTGTAATGATGTTTTATTCCTGAATGGCCAGGGTCAGAAAGGGGGAAGGAAGCCTACAGTGTAGAATACTAATGGAAAGCATCTTGGTTTCCTGGAGCACAAACCATTTCTTTTATGATAAAGTAATCTTATTTCCCTTTTACTTGTCTTGCCTAATTGCCTGGGCTACAATTTTGACTACTGTCACTCTTAGTTTTAGGGGGCTTCTTTCACTTTTTCACTACACAATATAATGCTGTCTGTGAATTGACACATATGACTTTTATCAGTTTGAAAAAGAGTGCTGCTGGAACTTGAGCGGCCAAGCAAGAAATCAGCTGCCCAACCTTCCTGGTAAGCTGCACGCACTGTGGGAAATCCAGGGAGAGAAAAGTCAGATAGCGCCCCCTGGAGCTGTCCAGCTTGAAGGCTGAAGATCTAACACCGTCCTTGTGCTCCCCACCCAAGCAGCCCACTGTTTTGGAGGACAGGACGATTTGATACCAAGGAAGGTACATAAAATAACTAAATGCTTGTATTGTTTGGTTGATTTTTCAGGCCTTAGGCCAGTGGTCTGAGCATCTCCTGGGAGGATGACAGTATGCAATATAGCAAATATGGGGGGATTTTCTTCTGTCTTTGAAGTCAAATATTGTCTTCACTGTTTTACTTTGTTCTGATTAGTTGTTTTACTTTATTCAATGTTCTGTTTTGATTGGCTTTGTTCTCCTTTGGTTGGTTTGATTTACTATAACTGATACAGTGGACTGAAGATAACAAGATATATTACTGTAGCCCTTGTTGTTTCCCTGGTATCCTGCTTTGAAGTTCTGTACCAATTTTGTTGCACTGTTTGTTTGCTCTGTCTTGGTCTATTGGATTTTACTATCTTTAAAATAAAAAATACAAAATGAAAAAAATGCTAAATCAAACAGATGCAATATTTATAGTTGTTTAAAATGTAAGGTAAATAGAACTGACTGATGATTCCGGGCCATCAAGACTGATAGAGTGGGTTTCTGGGGACCCTGCCTTTTCTAGGAATGTTTATATTGGGAAGCCATAGGGTGAGACATGATAAAGTGGGAGAAAATGGGAACTTGCAGGGCAGGCAAGCATGAGGTGGGAGAGAACCATGATCAACCAATAAAATTACAAGTGTAATTGCTCAGGTAAAATAGATTAAATGGGGATCATGTGGTAAGTCACATCCCAAATAGGCATGAACACAGAATAAGGTCTTTGCTGACAAGGGGTTGGGTGAATGACTTCTGACTTCTTCAGTGTGGCTGATACCTAATTAGAATATCAATCCCTGACATTTATACTTAGGATGTGGTTGCACTTGTTATGCCTTTTGTCTTGAGAGCTGGCTCACAGCAGAGGAGTCTGTCTCCTCCAGTGTTGCAAGATACGTGGTCTTCTGCACTGGCTCCTTCAAGGGCCTATGATAATTCAAATTGACTCTGCTGCCTATAACACTTTGATGATCCTAGAGGACACACATCCCTTCCACATATCACTTTCTTTTTCCTTTATCTTTTGGAGACAGTGTTTCAGTACTTAGTTCAGGCTGCCCTTGAACTTAACTTTGTAGTCAAGACTGGCCTTGGACTTGCAGCAGTCCTCTTGCCTCAGCCTCTCAAGTGCTGGGATGACAGGTAGATGACACCACACATGATTCCACATACCAGCTTCAATTTCAGAAGTGGGATTGTTGGAACACATGGTTTTCAGTTTTTTAGGAAACCTCTATACTTTCTTTTTCCTAAAAGTGCCATACTAGCTGGGTGCGATGATACATACCTGTAATCTCAACACTTGGGAACTGAGGTAAAAGAATCATCACAAGTTCAAGGAGAGACTGGGCTATATGATTTGCACAAGGTCAGCCTGAATATGTTGTAATATCTTTCTCTAACACAAAACAAAAAAGAAAACGAAAATCAGAGCACCCATACCAATTTAAATTCTCATCAGCACTGCATTTAGTTTTCTTTTCAAGTTGTCATCAACATTAATTATTTGTGTTTTTGGTTTGTTTGTTTATTGTAGGTTGAGCATTAAACTCATGGTCTTGTCCATGCTAGGAAAGTGCTCCAGCCCTGGGTGACATCCTCAGTCCCCATTTGCCTTTTTGATAGGAGCCATTCTAACAGGTTTGGGGAGATACCATATTGCAATGTTAATTTGATTTTAGAAACATTGAACGTTTGTGTACATAAGGGTTGGCCGTTGCTATCTCTTTTATTGATAAATACCTGGTTCCTTTGAATATTTTCAAACTGGGGAGATTCAGCACTCGGGAGTTTCTCAGAGGAAATCAACAAAACACAGATACATGGAAGAAAGGTAGGATATTCCTCCTCATACCAAAATTAATTTGAAATAAGAGATGTTTAGGTCAAACAAACTGAGGCACAGGATATTATAAAGTGATGAAATTGTCCACAAGGCTGCCTGTGGGTTTCCTGTAGGCAGTATTGGATGAGGAACCACCATTTCCAGGAGGTTTCCCCCCAAAACAGAGTCAGCACAGGTGTGGCAAACTCCATACACACAGCAGAGATCTAGAAGATAAGGCCCCTCACTGCTTTTGATTCCCTGCAAGCAAAGGACACCACACACAGCCAGGCAGCAAATGTTGTGGGCTCACAGAGGTGAGTGATTGCTTCCTACCCGACAGGCTGCCAGTGTTTTCTCCTTTTCTTTTCTTCTTTTCTTTCTTCTTTTTGTTTTTCTTTCTCTGCCCAGCAACATAATCACTAAGTGAACTTGCAGAGACAGCAAGGTTAGACAACAGCCAGGGCACTGAGGATCACTATTTTTAAATTGGTGTGGAGGACCACCTGGATGACTCTTTTGAAAGAAGAGCAGTTATTTCCCTTTTGGCTAAACCTGGCCCTGTTTCCATGTGTTGATATGTGCAGAGCTGGCTGGACTTTCCCTTATCCCCTCAATTGCCTTTGAGCAATGCGAATCAGTCCAGGAGGTGCTGAAGAGTAGTCTTTGAAGCAAGATTGCAGGTCAGCATCGCCCCACTCAGTATCTCCTAAAGAACATGTGTGACCTCTGTGGGAGGGAGAGCCAAGTCCAAACAGTTGGCTGGGATTGAACCTTAGGATGAGAGGACAGGATGGAATTCCCAAGGCATCAAATGACAATCAGAGCTGAAGCTCCAACCCAGAAACATTAGACACTACCTTGCCCCATGTTACACATATTACTATCTCTGCACATCCTTCTCTCTGAATAGTGCAGAGTGATCTCAGGCCTCTTGCCCAGCCCAGCTGATAGCACTCACTCACTTCTCACCATTGTCACAACCACTCATCCCCAAGTCATTCCCCTCTTCAAGAGTTAATAAAGCCTGTGCTCAGCCCTGGATCAAGGGCTTTGTTCTGGTTAGCCATTACCCTCACTGTACCTAGGACCTCCTTGGCTCTCTGCAACTGCAAATACACCTTAGTGTCTTTATTTTCACTATGAGTCATACTGGTAGTGATAGATTGAAGTTAACTGGCTAGGATTCCAAGAACTTTTCCATGGGATTACAAAACTTCCTGAAGAGCACTGAGGTCTGGGAAAGGCATTCAATAAACTAGGATACCTAGCATTTTGTTTCTCAGTTCTTTATGTGTTTGGGGCATTATCTCTTTATTGATGTACAAATGTTTTCCATCCGTGGACTGTCTCTTCACTCATTTCTTTTGCTATGCAGTTGTCTCATATAAATACATATGTCTATTTTTGCTTTTTTACCTGTTGGTTGGAGTTCAGTTTTGAAATCATTGAGCAGACTAATGTCATGGAGGGTTTTTTTTTTTCATATGTTTTCTTAGACACAGCTTTCATGAGAATTCTCTTTTTTATTGATTATCTTGTAACAAAATTTTAAAAGACTAAAGGTGTAGTTTATGCTTTAAGTCTGTGATTAAGATTCAGTAGTAAGTCAGGTTTTGTGAGCTCAGTACAAAATCTTTTTATAGATATTTTCTTTTTTTTATTTTAAAGGGATTAAAATTAAACACGACAAAACAGAGCAAAATAGGACATAAGAAACAAATGTAAGAGATATAAATTTCAAAGCTAGATGATCTGAGATCTTCGCTATCTATCATGTTGTCTCTTATTTTCTTCCAAATAGTTGTCCATGTCTTCACATACAAAGAATTCATACAAACCAACATAGTATAACACTGATCCAAACAGAATGAAGAAGGCATTTTAGGTCTTCAAAATTAGACAATAGCGAAGTCACCAATGACTGTCATAGAGTCTCTTGTTCTCTTCAAAATAGCTGTCCATACATTCATGTATATTGAAGTTCAACAAAGTTCAACAAAACAGTCTAAAATAACATTATTAATTAAAACAGGGATAAAAGTATTTGCCTTCAAAGAGATGGTAGGAGGAAATCCCCCCTATTTGCTACATTGCCTATGGTCAACCTCTCAAGGGATATCCAGATCACTGGTTCCCACTTGCTAAAAGAGGGGTGGGGTAAGAAGACGTGATGTTTGATTCTTGCATCAGTGGGCTCACAACCTCTCATGATGGGGGGGGCGGGGTTTGCTTGGTTTCCTGGTGCTCCAGGTCCCAGCATGGCACCAGTCCCAGTATATGTCCTGGGCCACCAGAGCCTCTTCACTCACAATCACTCACCGGGGTGCAATGGGATTGCTTCAAGCTTCTAATGAATTGATTCATTTCACTGCCAAAGTTCTGAAATGGCCAACAGACCATAGAAAGACATTTCTTTAGGCTCCGGCTTGCAACCAACACCATCAGGAAGGTGCCAGCCTTCATTCAGGGCCACTAGACGTTTTCACATTGCAGTACCACCTAAAGAACCTACTTAGAAATATCTTTTAAGACCCAGAGTTTTTCCTAATTAGTAAGTATCCTTCAGATATTTTAGATCGCCCCATAAAGAATTGCTTTTGAATTAAAACCTCAAATAATAAGACAAATAGGAAGAAATCATGAACTATTCTCACATTTTAATCTGTGGCTTAAAGAATCAATGTTTTCTTTCAACAAATTAAATTTTTTACATGAAAAGTATATGCAAAGTTTTTGTTAATTTTATTGGTACATTTCAGATATACACAATGATTAAATTCATCATAGGGAATTTGTACCAGTACATGATCTATCTTTATTCTTCCTTTTTTCTCTTTCTTTCCTTTCCCTTCAACCATATTTTCCCTCCTGATTTACAAAGTTTTACTTCCATTCTTTCCTTCTCTTTATTCCCTTTTCCTTTGATTCTGTTCCCCTCCTCCCAAGTTCCTTGTCTCAATATTTTCTTCCTAATTCACAATCTCTGTCATACATTTGGTTCCTTACTTATGTTTGTGTATTTTCACACCAGATAAAGCATGTGATATTTGAACATGTGTGTCTGGTTCATTTCTCTTAACAGCATAGTCTCAAGGTCCATCCAGAAACCCAGAAATGTCTCAGGTTGATCCTTATTCATGGTAGAGTAATAGTTCATTGCATAAAAAACTCACATATTCTTTATCCATTTATTTGTTGATGAACACTTGGGCTGTTTCATAGATTTGGCTTTACAAGCCATGCTGCTGTAAACATGGGCATGCACATAGTATGGCAGTGCTACTTCTCCAATTTCTGCATGAACTAATTTCTTTCTGAAAGTGTCTGGTTCATGCATTTACTTACTATCACTTTCCTTCGGGTACATTTCAGATTCCATAAAAGCTGGGGTGCTGTTTATCTGCTTTGCTGCCATATCGTCAGTGACTGAGATGGTTCCCAGCTAATATACAAGGCCTGTTTGAACTACATAGTGAAAGTTTAAATTAAAAACACTATTACAGTAAAAGGCAATGCCAGCTGGGTGTGGTGGCACACGCCTGTAATCCCAGCACTTGGCAGGAGAGTCATGGTGAGTTCAAGAGCAGCCTGGGTTACCAAGTGAGCTCAAGCCCAGCCTAAAATGTAGGTGAGACCCTGGCTCAAAAAGGACAAAAAGAAAAAAAAAAGATGACAATGTCATCACAACCCTCAAAATACTCTCCCTTGCTTCCAAACATTCTATCATTATTATCACTTTCCTTTTTCCCCCCTGTCCTTTGAGGGTTTATTCAGTTTTGTAAATTCAGTTTTATGAATTTTTAATTTAGTGGTTTTGTTTTTAAGACCTGGTAGCTGAACAATGTTGAAATTAATTGAAAAGATCACACAACATTTTTAATCAATGCTCACAAAGCTAGATAAGTATGAAAGGAATTTTAGTCCTTTGCGTCTATGTAAAGCAAGAACACATTGTGTGGGAAAGCAGTAGTTGCAAAGCAGAAACGCTGAATATGCTAAATGCTCTGTCAAATAGCAAAAATTCCAGGAAATCCCAGGGCTTGGTCACCAGCTTCACCAGAAGAATCCAGGTGTCCGGCTTCCCCCACCCCACCATGGGACCAACAGCCAGTGTGCGGGAAATCCCGGGACTCAGTAGCCAGCCCTTTGCTACCATTTTTTTTTGTCTTCTCTTTTTGTTTTTCTTTTCCTCCTTCTTCTTTTCCTGCCCAAGAAGTAGATAGATGTGCTCTTGAGCAACTCAGGTATATGCTGGAAGATTGTTGTTACATTTCAGAAAAATCACTATATGTGAGACTATAACTGTGGATTTAATTCTTGTCAGCACAGGCACAGATCGTGCTAAATTTATGAAGACATATTTATTGCAATGGAATACAAAGAAAATGGTTAGTTTTGTTTTACACTTACCTTCCACTGAACATAGATAGCACTGAGGCAGCACTGGGCACCTAAATTTACTCAGCAAATGTGTGCATATGGTAGATTTTCTGTGGCTTAGAAGATGAGTCTTCTTTGTGGGGGTAGAAAGAATACAGAAAAAGCGTTGAGTTGTTAGAGCACAGCAAACTGAGAAGAGTGAACAGTCAGTAAAACTTAAGATTTTTTGGAGATTTATTGTGTTTACTTTCTATCTTGGAATTCAGCTCCTATCCAGTTCCTGAAGGAAAACATCTCAAATAACTCCTCTTAGTCTCAGGACCATCAACCCGCTGTACTCTGTCCTACCATGTCTATCACAGGGGAGGTATGACCACTCACCATTAGGTTGTTGAACGCAGTGTAATCACACGTAACTGACCCTCACTTCTTCCAGATCCACACCTATGCCCGGAAAATCACTTAGCTTACCAGCTGATACCCCATAAGATACACTGGGAAACTCTGTAAGTATAACTGTGCAAGCAATACAAGAAATGACTGTTCATTTCTTTCTTGTTCCTTGCAAGTGAAGAGCCCTGCAGTTCAGCTGAGCTGTGAGCTCACAATGTACAATGTACAATTGGAACAAGGATATGTTTAACCCATATTTATATCTCTAGAAAAAGAGCAATTTTAATGTTTGAGATCTACTTGATTATTTTAAATGAATATGAGGTATGTAACATTGGTATTTAAAATCAAATAAAGTGTAGATAAAGAGATGCATATCATAAATCATGTGGTCCCTTTTGTTGTCTTACCAAGTTTCAAAGTTCTCATTTGAGTAGAGATCACCAATGAGATTAATCTCAATTGCAGATATTAGTTTCCTTTAGAGAACCAAGATGCATGTGTTAAAATTAGTCTACCAATTACAGTAGATTATGCTTTGGTATGTCTAATGTAAGGATACCATTACACAGCTGTTTGTTGATTTGTTTACATTTATTCATATATTTGTCATTCATCAAATGTATGTTGTCAGGGGTATAAAAATTAGGAAAGCTATCTAGCTTCTCTAAACTAAATAAGGATTTGAATAAAAGGGCTACATTTCTGAACATATACACAATGCACATTCTCATCTGTCTTACCATTTGGCTATCAAAATATTACGCATTGCAGTGTTGATTTTTTTGCTTGCTTTTCATTTTGGGTAAAATAAAGGAAAATTGGGAAGTTAGTACTGTATAAGTGAGTAAATTTGATTTTTCTTTCATGAGTTATACATTTATTTATGATTTATGAACTTAAATCATAAATGTAGACTGTTTATCAATCATGGAAATTCATAGTGTCTGTTGAAAATCATACCAGCCTGGCATCTGTGAGGATTACTTTAATATGTTATTTTGGTGATTTTTATGTCAAGATGATTTGATCTTTCATCAATAATGCTTGATGTTACATCAACTGTCTTAGGAAAGAAGCTCTTTCTTTCCCTGAGTTCTGCTAACTGAGGGTACAGAAGTCTGAAATTTGCTCTCTTTTGAGGTCCAGCTTGGAAACTGCTCAGGAATTGCATTGTGTCAACTTAACCTATAATAGGAGAGGGCATAAACCAGAATACCTAAATGTTTAACATTTGAATTTCCAAAGTGTGTTTGTAAAGTAAGCAAAGAACTATGCTAATTAACACATTTCTTCTTTGTAGAAATACTCTGCTCCAGGAAAGGAATTATTACTCCAGAGCTGACTGGAGAATTAAAGTAAGGAGAACAAATCAGAGACTCTCCTTGGTCAGGATGTTGATTACTGATAACACAATCTTCTTTGTGGACAGCAAACATTCAGCCTTCAGATGGCTTGCACCCAGGGGTCCCTTCCTCCCTTCCTCAAGGCGTTGTTTAAGCACTGCTCAATGTTGCCCCTCTCTCCTCATGTCACACTTCACATTGATCGGCTGTCTCCTTGCCAGTCTTTCTCCACACAGGTTCCTCATATAACTGACTGTATTTGTACTCACTCAGGTCCTCAGGCTCTCTCCACCTGCGCCTGGGGTCGTGAATGAAATCACTTGAGGTTGATTGTATGGGCTCCCAAACTCTCCTCTTAAGTATGTCCTGCTATTTTTCTTCTACCAATAACTTGTTATTCTCATCCCTTACATGTGTATCTTCCAACTATTTTCTCAGATTGGAATCCTGTCTCTTACATACAAATTGTCTGGGCAACATTCCTTGGTATCTGCATCGCTATTAATGTCCGTTAAACCAGAGACTGAACAAAAACTGCCACAGTGCTCATAATAATCAGAGAAAAGTAGTTAAGCCTCAAGTTGTCTTGCATTTGTAACAGTGGTGACTGTGTTTGAACTACAACCTGGTTTACTGAAGGAAGTACGGTGTAAGATTCAAGGTCCAAAAGTTAAATTCCTCAATTTATTTATTTATTTACTTATTTTCTTTCAAAGAGAAAAAAATGATAAAATCGAGCGTCAAAAATATTAGTAGGATAGTTACAATAGCTGAAACATTGCATATTGTTTTGTTCAAAGCACTCATTCAAAATAGGTGATATTAAGCACAGCTACAATGCATTGACTAGGTATCTTATCACCCATTTGTTGCAGCAGATCTCACAAAGCAGTAGATGCACTGAGATAGGAATTTGCTGGTATTTTTTCTTACCTATGTATAAATGTGAAGACAATCATTCTAGATGCAATCAACCACTGTTTCTATTCAAATCAGAATTCACTGTGTTTTAGATTTTAGGAACAGTGAAAATTACAAATGTGAAGGATGGAATTAACAGCTAGCTTGTTTATTCCTTATTTTAATTCTAGATCTATGTAATTTGTGAAAACCTGGAAAAGAGTCAAGACAGTTAGTGCATGGCAAAATATGACTGCAGGTATTTTTACAACCATGTAGCGCTGCTGATATCCATGTTGCAAGTCCCTGAGAGCAGATGGGAACACACTTCCCATGCATGGCAGTGCACACAGAACCAGGCTTGTAATGCTGTGAAGCTTGATGAAAACAAGTGACTGCGATCTCTATGCACTGTTCCAGAAATTTTCTGTGTACATAATTGATAAATTCTGTG